AAGGGACAGCATTTGCTGCCTCCAGAACTAGGAGACAGCCGGGTCACTGCAGACAGGGAGGGAGGAAGGTTTTCAGTACATCGGGGGAGGCACCATGTGGCCAGTGAGCTGCCGCCCTGCCGGGAGCCCATGCTCGGACCCTTGCTCACCTGGCAAACCCGGACACTCTCTGGACCGCCCTGTTCTCACTTGCAAACCGGGATTTCGTGGTCCCTTCTGGTTCTAAAATTCTCTGACTCCAAATGCAATTCCTCTGATTATTACTGATTTCTTATTTCTGCCAACAAGAGGCAGGAAAAGGGTTCTTTTTTTGTTGTTTTTTAATAGAAATCTCATGGACATATCTTTACACTCTCCCTGCAAAAAGCAGCAGGATTCAAGGTCTCTCTTTTCTATGGGTGACCTGAATGACATTCCAGTGTTCGAGTTCTTTCAGACAAGAAGTAATTCAGCTAAAGACCGGGGTGAAACAGAACATGTGTTGGATTCAGAGAGGGTCTTGCAATGCTGTCCTCAAATCTTTAAAGCCGTGCCTTTATTGACGGTGCTTGAAGGACACACGGAAGATGCCCGAGCCCACCTCCGGCCCACAGGAAAACAATTAGCACGCTCAGCAATTGTGTGCTCGCATACCACGTTGAATCCGTGACCTAATTGTTTTTAAGGAAGGGCTTCACCCTGGATTTTAGACCTCGGTACATGTATGTTATTTTTAAAATTGTGAAAATAATGCATTTCACATTGGAAAATTGCATTCATAAAATCGTTTTACACTGTAACAATTTTGCACCAGGCAAAGGTCTTGGAAAAAGCAGAGGCGGCAGGAGTACCGAGGTGATTAATTTATGTTAGGACATCACCCAACCACTGAGCATCAAGGATGCTCAGAAATCCCCTGGACCTCCCCGTAACTACTAGGGTTGCACAGAAGGGAGGACAAAGGCAACCCCATCTACCCAGAGTGGGAGTGTGAATTAGTGCAGACCCTCGGGGCACAGTTTGGTGATGGCTAACACGGAAAACTAGATCCATATACCCTTTTAATACAGCATCTATGCGTGCTATTCCATAGATACGCTAGCACCTTGCACATGGGAAGACAAAGACCATCATCGCTGCACTATTTTAATAGTAATAAACTGAAATCAGGGACTGAGCTGATTGCAAAATTAACAAATGACACCCTTTAAAATAAAACCTCATGTAATGGAGACCTCCCCTAATGGGGCTATGGTCCGTCTCCAAAGCAACAACATGAAAGGAGTTAACTGTCCAGTCCCACCTCCTGTAACTCTGTTCCTCAACCTCCCCCACCTCCAGGACCCCGGGGCTCCAGTTCAGGCAGGGCTTCAGGGGCACTACAATGAGCTAGGTGGCTGGGGGGCAGGGGAGTCCCAGGAACTCAAGGGGCTGCTGCTTCTGCCACCGTCCACCTTGGAAGGCCTCTGAGTGCAAGCTGCTGCCTGCTTCTAGAGGGGCCTGCCCGCCCCTACCAGGCAAACACGGGAAACGGCCGGATCCGGCTCCAGAGCCCTGCACCGGATACAATTTGGGATTCACGTCCTCATCTGCACACCTGCAAAATGAAGGCTAAGGCAGGCCGCCCTTCGGAAGAAGCGTTCTGAACAGCGAACGCCACAGGGCATCCTAGGTCAGAATCCAGGGTTTGACCTTGCGTCGTGTGCCCAGGGATTCTTAGACAAACTGAAAGCTTGCGGACTTCTGCAAGCGCCTGAACTGTGCTTATCTGTACTTGAGTTCTGATACGTAAACGCTGTGTGTTGAGTGTATTTAATATTTATCCATTATATATACAGAAACAGCATTGACTTAACACAGCTAACCTGTAAGTCACACCTACATCTTGCAAATGTGGAGGGGAGCTGGGGGGAATATATTATTACATTAAATATTAAATATCGTACGATATATTATATACCTTGAGTGTACGCAAGGCAGACCATTTCCGGGGAGGGGGTTCTCTGGCTGCTCTTTTTAGCCGATGCTCTTTGATGGCAGTAGGGAGACAGTATTTTTAGAAAACCTAAGCACTCTCCTGAAACTGTTTGTAAGATGTGACTGATGTTATCTAGTTTTAACTGCCAAATCCAGGGTCACTGGATTGATTTCAATTCCTGACTTTTCCATCGACTCCAGAGTGAGTCATTCCTTGCCTGGGTATCTTTAATTTTTTTATCCACAAGCACGGCATGAAAATACTTACCCTTTCTTAGCAGTGTTTCACACATTACTGAGTTAATACTTGGCACTGTCACTCACAGAGAAAGAAAGTGGTACTGAATCACGTACCTACTCTCTGAATGGACTCCCTTCTGCCTGTATTTTTAATGTCATTTTGGGTGGGTTTTAAACATTGTCATATATAATTAAGCATAAACGGGAGTGGAGGTCAACTATTCATATTCCAGGACTAGTTTATGTAACTGTATTACTTTCACTTAAAATGTTCTAAGGATCTCCCTTGTATGCCTGTGCACCTGCCCAGTTCCCGGTACAGACAGCACTGGCTACATGTGGCTGAATTATTTAAAATTAAATAGAATTTAAAATCCAATTCCTCAGCAGCACTAATCACACTGCAAGTGCTCAGCGGCCTCAGTGGCTAATGACACCGAGTTGGACAGCGTGAGCAGAGGGCGTCTCCATCATCTAAGTCCTGTTCCACAGAGCTGCTCAGGTCTACTTCTACAGTGTAACCAGCAGTGCCTACATGGTAGTAAATGCTGAGTGACTGTTTGCTGAATGAATAATAAAATGATTAGTTCTAATTTGTCTTAGTAATCTCAGTAACAATTGAAACGGAAGACAGAATCTGCTCTAGCCCCAACCCGTGCTTTGACACGATCGGATTAGCTGGGTTTGTTCCTCGCTCCTGCCAACTCCCAGCTTTGTTTTTAAGGAACACGTCACAAATTTTGGATCATACCCTCGCCATATTTATCTCTTGATTTCATTCTAGTCAAATCTGTCGTATTTGTTTCTCCAAATGAATTATCTAAATATTATTTTACCCAAACTGGGTGTTTGCACTTGGATAGATGATGTATGTGTTAAATTTTCTAGGAATATTGATTTTTTTCCCCATGTGTTAGTATCAAATTCCAGACAAATTTACTTCTTAAAAAAGAAATAATTCTCTTTTTTAAGCTTTCTTTTCTTAAAAAAGAAAAGAAATTAAGCAAGCATCCCAGGATACCATGCGTCAACGAGGAAACCGGAAACTTGCAGGGCAAAAATCTTACACCCAAGATGAATTCTGCAAGGAAACGTGAGTTGAAACTGATCCAGCTATTTGTAGGATTACACTAAATACACCTTTGCCCTCAGCTCCACAATCCACTGCCACGCTGCACAAGACAGGGACACAGAAAGCAGTGGTGGCAACATTCTGCGCAGCTCTCTCCCCTCCAGATGCCAGTTTTATCTGCAAACAGGGGTGCTCTGCCACAAGCCCCTCCTAAGTGGCTTCCCCCTCAGCAAATTTGCCTTTCTCCTGCCTTCTTTGTAAACAGCATCTCAGTTTGCAAGTTCTCTCCAGGACAGCAAATGAATTTACCCTATTTACCCGAATAAATTGAGGGACCTGCCATAAATTGAACGATGAGTTCCTGTAGCTGGGCATTTTGTACAGCAGGCCTTTCTGTTTTTTTTAAAAAACACACACACATTTCTCCTGCAGGATCCTTTATAAATGTGGTTTTAATGATCACAATTACATTGAGACAGTCTCCTGCAACCAGAAACGACTTCTTGATTTGCTCAACATAAAGAATACTTTGCAGCTATGTTCAAGGGAGAAACAAAATCAGAAAATGAATTTTCACTGAGTTAGATTGCATTGATTCGAATAAAGTTAAGGCTAATGTATATCTCCTTCATTAGGTATTTGAGTTGCTCTGATTCAAAATGTAAACAACTTAAAGGGTGAATTGCTCAGTGGAATTCGAACCTTAGCGGAAAATAAAAGGTAGCCTGTGGGCGCGGACCCTAGGGAGGACTCGGGGCCACCCCCACCTCCATAACGCGGTCTGGTCTCTTTTCCGCCAGGGGCAACTGAACCAGAGGACACTGGTTGCCAAACCCTGGTGGGCCATTAACGTCCTAGTCCTAAATTAGAAACAGCTCTTCAAACTGCCCCCGGCGCCTATTCGTTTCGTCAAAATCGTGAAACAGATTCAAGAAAGCTATAGCTGGTTTTCTCCCTACGTGTGCCCTAAAACTTGGGGACCGGGTCCACTCTTCTCAGCTACTTAATAAGCACTCTGAGCAGTTTGTATTGTTCCCTTCTCAGGGGTGGTTGGCGTCCTCAGTTCGTGCGTTTTCCTCCGTCGCCTTTTGGGAGAAAAGCCCGGGCTGCTCCGCTTTTGTTACCCGCCCCCCGTCCTTTACCTCCCGTTCCTCCCCCGTCCTCCCCCACCCGGGCAAGGCAGGGCGACTGCCCCAGACCCAGGGCGCCCCAGTTCAGAGCGCCGGAGCTCCTGGGCCCCGCGCACCCGGAGTGGCGCCCCTGCCAGGTGGGAGCAGGAAGCGGCCACCGCGCCCCGTCCCGCTTCCCTCCCCAGAACAATGGCTTTTCGCCCGGAAAACGACGCTGGGAGGGAGGCCGGGCGCGCCCCTGGGGCCGAGGGGGACTCTGTGGGCGCCCCCGAGTCCGCAGCCGCTGGGCGCCCCCTCCCCCCGCGCCCGCCTACCAGTCCCCCAGCCCGGCCTGGCCCCCGCGCGCGGGACCCCCGCCCGCGCGACGCCCAGCCCGCCGCGGACAATGCGCGCCCCGCCCCGCGCCCGCCCCTGCGCGCTGATTGGGCCGCGCCTGGTTTGGGCCGCGCACGGGGGAGGGCGGCGGGCCCGGGAGCGGGCGCCGGGCGGCGGTGCGCGTGCGCGGGGCGGGCCGGCCGGGCGGGGGCGGTGCTTTGTGTGCGGCCGCGGGGCGCGCGGCGGGGCGCGCGGTGGTACGGGCTGGCGGGCGGGCGTCGGGCAGCATGGAGGAGTTGAGCAGCGTGGGCGAGCAGGTCTTCGCCGCCGAGTGCATCCTGAGCAAGCGGCTGCGCAAGGTGCGTGTGCCCGGCCCGCCCCCACCCCGCCGCCGCCGCCGCCGCCGCCCCCCGCCCCGGCTCACGCGCCCCTTCTTCTCTCCCGCAGGGCAAGCTGGAGTACCTGGTCAAGTGGCGCGGCTGGTCCTCCAAGTGAGTCCCCCGGCGGCGCCCGCCTTCCCGCCCGCGCCATCTCGCCCACGGGGTAGGGGAGGGACCCTGGGCCGCGCCGTGGAGGGGCCGAGGGCGTCCGCGGGCAGGGCGCGAAGTTCGCGGGGTCCCCGTGGGCCCCTCCGGCTCGGCGGGGGCGCCCAGCCCGGGGCTGCCCTTTGTTTACAAGCCCGCGGGGTGCGGGGCCGGGTGCCTCCCGCGCGGGAACCCCCCTCCGGCCGCGCGCCCCGCCCGCGCCCATTTGTTGCGTGCGCCCCCCGCCCCGCTCACCCCTCCCCGGCCCGGCCGGGTGGGAGGCGCGGGATGCGAACCCCCCTTGTCCATATTTTCCCCGCTGTAACCTGAGCTTCCTATCGGTGGATGTAGGGTTTCTTTTTTCTTCTTTTTTTGTTTTTTTTTAATGGGAGGGAGAGGATTTGGCATCCCCAGGAGGGGCTCTCTTCACAGCTGCTCCCGCAGCCCGGGCCCCCTTCTTTCTGGACCCCACTCTGCTTTCTTTGCTCCCCCCTCCGTGCCGGCCCGCGCCTGCCTGGGCGCCAGCCACATTGTTCTGCGTCCCGGGCTGTGCGCCTGTGCCCCTCCCTGCAGGCATCCTGGACCTGCCTTCCCTTCCCTCCCTGGCTCCGGGCCAGTGTTTGGGGGATTCCCTCGCTGCAACCTTGAGTTTTATTGGGATTTGTTTTTCTCCCTGGCGGAGACAGTGGGAGTCTTCTTGTGGCCGTGTTTTAATTGGGGAGTTGAAGTGGCAGTTTCTCTTTGGGTTTGAGGTGAGGCCCCAGCCTCCAGGACCTGCAGGGGTTTGGACTTTGAGGACTGCCCGCACCCCAGGGCCCTTGCCATGGGCAGAGCTTGGGGAGCAGTTGGGGTGGCCCCACCTGGGCCGCTTTCTGAAGTGGCCTGGTCACTGCCTGGTGTTTGATGGCACCCCCCTCTTTGCTTTTCCAGACACAACAGCTGGGAGCCAGAGGAGAACATCCTGGACCCGAGGCTGCTCCTGGCTTTCCAGAAGAAGTGAGAAAGTTAACGGCACACATGGGGAGGGTGGTGGGAGGGCGGCAGCTGGTTGCACCTGAGCTGGGCTTTCCAGGGAGCCGGGGCGAGCGCTGGGGTTCTGGTCTGAGGTCTGTAGCAAGCCTGGCCCCAGGGCCTCCAGTGCCATGTCCACGGCTGTCTGAAAGGTGGATCACCTTGAGGACCCCAGTCATTTCTGCGCAGCCAGCGCACAGCGCTGAAATGGGTCAAGCCACGCCCCCCCCCCCAACGCCATACCTGCTTCTGAACAATCTGAATTAGTGCTTCTTTGGGCTTACTGACAGCCAGAGTTGCAAAAATGAACCTTCTCGGTTCCTTCGTGTAAGGATTTTGGCTTCTCTTGCCCTTCTCTGCTGAGCAGTTTGCAGACAGCACTCATAAGTACCATAGCAGGTTCGCCATAACAGCACAGACCTGTCCTTCTGGCCCTGCACGAGTGCGCCCTTGGGCAAGAGAAGACTCAGAGAGGGGTCTGGAACACACAGCACCAGGTTTACGTCTGCTGTGGTCTCTCTCTGTCAAAAAAAAATACATTTATTTTGCTCTGGGCTGTAAAACGTAGTGCTGAGTGAGCACCGTGGGGGCCCCGTTGCCATTGTTGGGCCAGTCACTCCTGTGATTCTAGATGTCATTTCTATTTTTAGGTAGGAGACTTGACTTAAGAGATAGGTCTCCTTGAGATGTTCGGGGAAAGGAGTGATGAGGAGGGGCGGAGGGGGTGCCTCTCCAGTCCCGGCAGGGTGGGCCGGGGAGTGCTGTTTGGGAACATAGCAAGATGGGGGTAGCAGCCCTGATACCGTCCCCCCCGCCACAGCTTGCCCTGTTGACGGACACAGATGACTTTGTTGCTCGAATCTTTCCCAGCTGGGGTCAGCATGGCAGGCTTGTTTTCTGAAAGCTGAAGCTGTGTTCACTTTGTTCCACTGTAGCAGGACATTTTGGGTCTCCCAGAGGGGCCGTGACAGGGAAATAAAGATAGGTGTTTGGCGGCGGGGTGCAAGAAAATGAGGTGCACATGTGCTAGCTTAAGTACCTTTGGAAAATCTTATCAGCGATCAGTCTCCTATTTGATTCGTAATTGGGGCTTGTGAGCCTTGGGGCGAGGGCGATGGCTTGACCCATTCCCGGAGCTGGCACATTCCTCTGCATCTGAGATAGCGTCCTGGCTGTCGAGAGAGGGCATGTCCTCACCAGGCCTTTGGTTATCACAGCAAAGGGCAGAACTAGCCGGGAGATACAAGAGTTTAAAAACTGCAGATGGTCTAGATTACATCGTGGAAGAGAGAAAACCAGGAAGGTGGATGGTCTGCTTTCTCCCGCCCACCAAAAAGAGCTCGCTCCAGACACTGGGGGCTGGGACACACTTGCGTGGTATGGGGCAGGGCAGGGCCTTTGCGTGGGAGGGAAAGTCGCAGGCTCGCTGCACGCAGGTTAACGTTTCAGCAGAGGAGACCCATTTTAGGAGATTGGGAGTCGAGGGCCGGTGCTTTGAAGTATGAGCTCTGCCTAGTTGTACTAATCCCATTTGTCGTTAAGAAATCACCTTGCAGGCCCCAGTGAGATGATGTTTTTTGCCCGTTTTAATTACCAGGGCCCCTTCCCATGGGGGAAGCCTGAAATGCAAGCCTTCCCTGAGGGCTGGAGGCGCTCGCTGGGGCTGTCTCGCTCCCAGGCACTGGGGCTGCTTTAGGGGGCACTGCAGGTGGAGCGGGCTTTGGGCCCTGGCCACTGCAGAGTGGGCCACTTACTTCCATGAAGAGCAGAGTTCAGGAGCAGCAAGGTAGCAGAAAAAGCCCGGCTCTGGGAAGCTGCCCTGCAGAGGTGGCCCCAGGGCCCTTGGTGCTCTAAGCACAGGTGAGGGGTGGGTAGATACCTGGGGTTGTGGGCAGCTCCTCCTCTCGAAGGTGGGGGGAGTTGGGCTGCTTCCAGTTGTGATGTGCTAGAATATTCCTGAAACAGCCTCCCTGCCAAAAGCTGTCTTAAGAGGGGTCAGAGAAAACTGGGGAACTGGTCATTGCCTGCTTTTCTTTCACATCTTGGCCTTGTCTTTACCTAAATGGAGGTGAAGTGGGGAGGTTGTAAAAATAATGCTGACCTGTTGCAAAGAACAGGGTCCAGATCTCCGCCGGGGGTGCTGCCGCAGATGGGTGGCACCTGGTTCCCAGCGGCGGAGGGGGTGTGTACAGGGCCGCTCCCTCCCTGACTGGAATGTGTCCTCAGGGAACACGAGAAGGAGGTGCAGAACCGGAAGAGGGGCAAGAGGCCGCGAGGCCGGCCACGGAAGCTCACCGCGATGTCCTCCTGTGGCCGGAGCTCCAAGCTCAAGGTGGGTGGCTGTGCCTTCCTCGCTGACCCTGCTGGGCTGGGCAGGGGGAGGGGAGGGAAGGCGTAAGGGCCTCAGGAAGAGGGTGGCACTTCTACAGAAGGGGAGACAGGACCCCCCCCCCCCTTTTGCAGCCTCTCACCCTCTGCAGGGCACCCGCCAGCTGCACAGCTACTCCCCGCCCCCAGCCTGGGCCCCTGAGAGGTGGCTTCCTGCTTCAGTTGGCTCCATTCTGCACTCCTTCCTACTGGGTGGCAGGGTCAGGCTGGGCTGCTCTGCTGACTGCCTCCCCCCTTTGTTACTGGGGACAGGAAACAGGATACACGCATGCAATAGGTGCTCATAGGTTGTAGATGGGAGCCATCGATCAAGCTGGGATATTGGGCCTCCCTCTGAGTGCACGTTAGCTGGGGAACACCTGCTGGTGCCTTCTCAGGGGTATCCGGTCACCCCTCCCTGCTACAGTGGCGGGCAGTGGCGTAAGCCTCCACGTAAACACCTGGATCCTTGGCACCACCCGCCTCCCCCAGGTCTGGTCAGGCAGGAAGATGGAGGAGGGCCTGGCCTCAGTCTCAGGCATGTCTTTGATTCCTTCCTCAGGGCCACTCCCCCCGCCCCCGTGCTGTGGCCAGGAGCTCAGTCACTTACCAAAAGCCACCCTTTCAGGAGGCTGTGGGATTCCCTGCCTTAGAGTCTTGCTGGCTAGTCTACGCTGGCTTCACCTCATCCTCAGAATCTTCCCTTCAAGCAGGACGGTGGGGCTGTGGAAGTCGTGCCCACAAGGCATTCGGTGCCATGGGAGTGGCTGCCAGGGAAGCCCTAAGGCCTTTTCTGGGTGGTTTGACACAATCGCACCTGTTTGAGTTAGGAGAGCTGTGCAGCAGGGAACTGGATGTGGTTCTATCTCCCTAAAAGGATAGTACCTGTTAAAATTCTCTTTTTCATTTCTTCTGAGGCAGGGTCCTGCTCTGTCACCCAGGCTGGAGTGTCATGGTGTCAGCACAGCTCACTGCAGCCTTGAACTCCTGGGCTCATGCCATCCCCCCACCTCAGCCTCCTGAGTATCTGGGACTATAGGCACACACCACACGCTAATTTTTTAATTTCTTGCAGAGGTGGGGTCTTGCTGTGTTGCCCAGGCTGGTCTGAAACTCCTGGCCTCATGTGATCCTCCCACCTCAGCCTCCCAAAGTGCTGGGGTTAGGCATGAGCCACCATGCCTGGCACAACTTTTAAAATTCTGACCCTGCAGGCAGCGTGGGGGCCTAAGAACCAGGAGGACGTGCTTAGTTACCATTCGGGTGACACCCAGAAGGCCGGGAGGATGGTGGTTTGTTTACCTGTGTCCTGGAAGGTTCAGATTTGGAAATGGGGAGATTGAAGCAGATGCCCATTTGGTTTAGATAGCAGAGTACTCGTGCTGCTTCACGTGAGTTTTAACTTTGTGAGATGTGTGGACCGTGCTGCCCTAGACACGGCCCCTTTCTGAATTGTCTGCTGGGCATCCTGGAGCTGAATTTTCTTTTCTTTTTTTTCTTTTATTTATTTTTGAGACAGGGTCTCTGTCGCTCAGGCTAGAGTGAAGTGACATCATCATAGGTCACTGCAGCCTCAAACTCTTGGGCTCAAGCATCCTCCTGCCTCAGCCTCCCAAGTAGCTGGGACTACAGGAGTGTACCACCACGCCTGGCTTATTTTTCTGTTATTAGCAGAGATGGGGTCTTGCTTTTGCCCAGGCTGGTCTCGAACTCCTGAGCTCAAGCGATCCTCCCGCCTCGGTCTCCCAGAGTGCTGGGATTACAGACGTGAGCCACCTTTTCTATTCTACCTTTAAGTTTGCGTTTCATGGAACCTCATGAGGACCTTTTATTTTAGTTTATCTTTTAAAATCTCACAGAGCAGAGGCTAGTTCTCCCTGCGGACAAGAACAGCCTTAAGGACCTTGTAAATGTTCTGGAACAACATGGTAGGAAACTGCTTCCTCCCTGGCTGCCTTGCTAGTCTGAAAAGAGGTGCTGGCTGCAAGGTACCTGGTGCCTCTCAGGGGCAGCGTGGTGCTCGGGACCCTGGGCCCGGCAGTGCAGGTGTGACGCCGCCTCTGTCTTTCCAGGAACCTGATGCTCCCTCCAAATCCAAGTCCAGCAGTTCCTCCTCTTCCTCCACATCTTCCTCGTCTTCCTCAGAGGAAGAGGATGACAGCGACTTAGACACCAAGAGGGGCCCTCGAGGCCGTGAGACGCACCCGGTACCTCAGAAGAAGGCCCAGATCCTGGTGGCCAAGCCCGAGCTGAAGGATCCCATCCGGAAGAAGCGGGGACGCAAGCCTCTTCCCCCGGAGCAGAAGGCGGCCCGGAGACCTGTGAGCCTGGCCAAGGTGCTGAAAACCGCCCGGAAGGATCTGGGGGCCCCGGCCAGCAAGCTGCCCTCTCCACTCAGCGCCCCAGTGGCGGGCCTGGCAGCCCTGAAGGCCCACGCCAAAGAGGCCTGTGGTGGCCCCAGCGCCGTGGCCACCCCGGAGAACCTGGCCAGCCTGATGAAGGGTGTGGCCGGCAGCCCCAGCCGGGGCGGCATCAGCTGGCAGAGCTCCATCGTGCACTACATGAACAGGATGAGCCAGGGCCAGGCCCAGGCCACCAGCAGGTTGGCGCTCAAGGCCCAGGCCACCACCAAGTGTGGCCTCGGGCTGGACCTGAAGGTGAGGACGCAGAAAGGGGATCTGGGGATGAGCCCCCCAGGAGGCAAAATCTCAAAGGCCCCCAGTGTCGGGGCTGCAGAGCAGAAAGTGGGCAGCGCAGGGGGGCCCCCACACGCCCACAGCGGCAGCAGGGTCCCTGCCGGGTGCCCGGGCCCCCAGCTGGCACCCACCCAGGAGCTGAGCCTCCAGGTCTTGGACTTACAGAGCGTCAAGAACAGCATGCCTGGGGTGGGCCTGCTCGCCCGCCACGCCTCGGCCACCAAGGGTGTCCCAGCCACCAACTCAGCCTCTGGGAAGGGTGCCGGGGGTGGCCCCCCGGGGGGCAACGGGGCCAGCATGCCCACTGACACCAGCAAAAGTGAGAAGCTGGCCTCCAGGGCTGCAGCGCTGCCCACACCTGTGGGCAAGAGGGACTGCATCAAGGGCAGTGCCGCGCCCCGCGGGCAGGAGGGCCGCGTGGTCCCAGGGGATGGGCGCAAGCCGGCTGCGCTTCCAGAGATGAGCGCCGGCGAGGAGAGCAGCAGCTCCGACTCAGACCCCGACTCGGCCTCGCCACCCAGTGCCGGACAGAACCCATCGGTGTCCGTCCAGACCAGCCAGGACTGGAAGCCCACCCGCAGCCTCATCGAGCATGTCTTCGTCACTGACGTCACCGCCAACCTCATCACCGTCACGGTGAAGGAGTCCCCCACCAGCGTGGGCTTCTTCAACCTGAGACATTACTGAAGCCCCTGCAGCCACCAGCTGCCCCAGTCGTTCCGGCCCTCCCGTCTCGGAAGTGACCCATAGCCCAAATTCTCCAGACGGGCTGGGTCAGGGATGGGGGCGGCGGGCTCCTTTCTGGGCAGACTTGGAAGGAACTTCTCCCCGGCCCTTGCCCCGGCCTGGGGTCGGGCAGGGAGCGTATCTTCGCCTTGCTGGGGCCAGGCTGCACCATGTTCCTACCTCTGGGCCACCTCCTCGCTCTGCCGTTTCACCTCAGGAACTCGGAGGCACCTGCAGCTCGAGCTGCCCTCGGCGGCCTGTGTGACTGACGTCAGCTCCGCCCCGGTCTCCCAGGGCAGGTGTCGTTGGAGCCTTCTCCCGGTCCAACTTGACTTCTCCCTGGGGGTGGGGAGAGAAAGTGCACTGGGGGGAGGCAGAGCCCCCCGGGACTGCTCCAGGGAGGGCCCACCAGTGTCCCTGCGGCCCAGAGCAGTTTTAGAAGACAGGGTGGGCGGGAGCCTGCCTTTGCCAGCAGTGCCCGCGCCGGCAAGGGGAGGGGTCCTGCCCCACGGCTGGGGGCTGGCCGGGGCCTTCGTGTAAGAGATAGCTGGTAGCTGTAGTGGGGCAGGGTGAGGTCAGGAACACTGAAAAGGTTGGTGTTGCTGCCATCTAATCCCAGTTCAGAGTAACCTCTGCGGCCCCTGCAGCTGCCCTGAGCCAGCGTGGTAGGGAGAGGGGTGGTGCCACGTGAAGAGCATTGCCCGTGTTTGGATCTCGGAGCAGGATGCTGTCGCTGCCCTCCTTCCCGTTGGCCTGTGACCTTGGTCCCCTTCCACACCCAGCCCCGCACCCCTAGCCAGGGCCCGCCAGATATGTCCCAGTTCTGAGGGCGAAGGTGCTGGGACCCAGGGTGGGGACACCGCAGGCCCGGAGCTGAGTCCGGAGAGAGGCTGAAAGACAGGCTCGGACCAGCGGAGGTGTCTGAGCAGAGCCCTTGGTGGGAGAGCCCTTTTCTCCTCTCGCTGGGATTTATCTTCCCATCCTGAAGGACCAGCTTAACCTTAATGGCCACAAACTGCTCGGGGAGCCATGGAGGATGGAAGTGTGGGCACTTGCTGGCTCGTGGCTGTTGGCAGGTGTTGCCATAGTTGCCGTCCACAGCAGCCTCCCCTCGCTGTGCCCATGCCGGGCCCTGCCCAGATGGACTGGCCACTTTCCCTGACAATCCCCCCGCCCCGTCTTCAGCTGTGCTGTTCTCTGCTCCTTCCCAGCTGAGAAGCAGTATCTATCGTTTGGGAGGCAGGACCAAGGCAGCAGCCCGCCTGGGAGAGGGCCCCCAAAGACCAACCCTGCCAGCCTACTCCTTGAGGCCCTCTCCCCTCCCCTCCCCCAGACGGCTAAGCCTTGGAGCTACCTTGCATGATTTCTGACATTGGGACTTCCGTTCCAAGACACCAGCGTGGGGCAGGGACAGGTCAGCAGTGCCCTGGGGATGGCAGTGGCAGGCAGTCTGGTCACTGGGTTTCTGTGATGCCAAAAAGAAGTCAAGGGAGGTGGGCATGTTTCTGTTCCCATACTTGGTTGAGGTCAACCCGCAGGTGTGGGGCCTCGCCCTGGACGTCCTGATTAGGGGGAAGAGCTGCCCTTCCACAGACCAGCCGGAGTTAAGCGGGCTCTGGCTTCCAGGGGGCAGGCCTGCCAGGGCCGCAAGCCCCCCATGCCTCGCTCATGCCAAATAGGAAGAGGTGGCCTTTGCGTAGCCAAATTGATCACAACAGTGTGCCTTTGGGGAGGGACCTGCATCCTTAACTGCATTGGGGCCTGTCTAGATGCAGCCTCAGGGCTAGCATGTGGCAGCCACTTCTGCAGACTGGAGGGATGGGGGTCCCAGGCAACAAGGCTGGAACCGGAAGTGGGCAGTAGGGAAGAACTGACCCATGCACGGCCTGGGAGGAGGAGAGGATCCCAGCACACCAGGCCACTGTCCAGCTTCCGGATCCCCAGACAGCCTCCCCGGTTTTGCAGCTCCTAAGGCGCTGTGCCTTAGAGGCTCCAAAGCCAGGCTCAGAGCTCTCCCAGCAAGTCCCTGAGGGTGGCCCTGAGGTCCCAGGAGCTGTTGAAGGAATGAGGGTGCCTGGGCCAGCTGCACTGGGCCCCCGCAGCCAGGTCTCTCCAAACCCTGATTTGGTGCCTTTCTGTTTACCAGCTACTTCAATCCCAAAGTTTGAATCTGCAAACACCTTACTCCCAGCCACCTTGCCTTCTTGCTGTGTTGTATGTTTCCTTCCTGGTGCTTGGGAGCCCGGGTGGTTCATGTTACAGAGTGTGTGTGTGCAGTTGCGCCGGATGCTCACAGCTGGTCGTCTCATGTTTACCAATAAATAAAAGTAGTACTTTGTATATTTTATTTGCTGCTATATGTGTGTGGGTAGCTTGGCATCTGTACCACATCTGGCTTAAGACTCATCTCTATCCCAAAGGGCCCTACGTGAACTGTCACTGTGTATATTGCATGGGTGTGTGAACCCGTCTTTTTGTTTGCCTCTGTGTTGTACAGGAAGAAGTGGCCAGTTTGTCCTCTTCCTTAGAGGGTTTGGCGTATTTTTATATATATTTTCATACCAAAAAGAGTGTTCCTTGTTTGGGTTACACTCAAAATTTGACTAGAGAGGGTTCTAGGC